AGAATATTGAAAGTGCCATGGGCTGCCAAAAGAACCAATAAAATCCGTTTTGGAAGAAGTACAGCCAGAGTGTTCCTTGGAGGCCAAGATGGCCAAACTTCGTCTCTCATACTTTGAACATATTGTCAGAAGGGACCAGTCATTGGAAAAAGATATCATGTTTGGTAAGGTGGAGGGTAACAGAAAAAGAGGAAGACCCTCAATGAGATGGAATGGCCAAATTGTAGAATCGGTGGACTCAAGCTTGGCAACAGTAGTGAGGTTGGCCCAAGATTGGGCAATATTTCGTTCTGCTGTGCATAAGGTCGCTAGGGGTTGGTACCAACTCGATGGTAACTAACAACTAACTACAACAATGTTTTCCTTTACTTAGATCTTTAAAAGTAGGTGTAACTGCTTGCTCTTGATAACCATTTTATTTCTTCTCTCTTTAATCCAATCATATTTACTAGCTCAACCAAATTAAATTGCTTCCACAGATGTAAACTTGCCATCTGATAATTATTTAAGCAGTATATGCTTTTAGTTTCCTTAAATTATTGCAGTAATATTAGGTGACTGCACCTTAGACACTGTTTGAAAGCAGGCCATGTATAAAGAATAAATTTTAAATTAAACTACTGGCAGGGGGAACCATATACAAGGATGCTGAACAAGATTGGAGGATCAGAATATTCTCAATCTGGGAGAAGCATTCTCCTCCATTTCAATCCCAACCAATATATCAACCATTAGGAAAACTATGTGGAATAAGCTGTTTCAATAATGTACTCTTTGCTAAAATCTGAAAATTGATATAAATATTTATTACATTACAGGATAGGATATGTTTTCAAGCGTTACAAATCAAATTTGTTATAATTCGATGAGTCACGAACTCCACCAACCTCAGGCTTTTCAAGCCAAGATGTTATTGTTGGTGTTAAGTGCTGTTAGGTCGATTCCCACCCATAGTGACCCCTGTACAGTGTTTCCGAGGAATGGCTGGTGAGCTTGAACCACTGGCCTTGCATTTCAAATGGCTTTGCAGCCTGGCGCCATAACCCACAGTGCCACACCAGGAATCCGCAAATCAAGACTGGTGTATGTTTAAAATTTACCTGGTTTTATTTGTGGGACTCTTGGGCGTGGTGATACTTTCGGCTTCGGAGGAGCACGGGGAGTCTGCTTGGGAACTAAAAGAAAGAGTATAGATTTGGAAGCTCTTGAGTCTTTTGAAAATAAAAGTACCTAAGCCTCTAGGAGAGAGAAGATGTTTGTTGAGTGACCAAAGACCCAAATACACTGTAATTAAAGTAATTAAAACTCTCAAAGAACCACACAGTATCAGAAAATGTTTTTTCTTCTGTAATCGTAAAGAAAACAAAGCAAAACAAAACAGAACAAGACGGCGTATTAAGTGACATCCAAGATATCCAGCTGGAAAAATGACACCGATAGAATTTTGGAAAAATCGACTTGAAATGTCTTTTAAATAGGTCAACAATAAATTTAACTGTAACAACAATTTATTTTTATTAAAAGCCCACATAGTTTTGTCAGAATACCAAGGTGTAATATTTTCAGTGCAAACAGATACAAAGTCTTCTAAGTGAAAAGCAAAGTTTCCATATTATATTCCAAATATACCTAGAAAATGAGTGTATTTTAATATCAAGTTCTAATGAAAAAAATTAACCTTGTTAAGTAGAACACAAGTTGTGCTGGTTGTATTGGGGAAATGAAACGGAATACCCAGGACATGTTGCTGCAGAGAGTTACTCCTTTGCTAGAAAAATCCCAAACAAATTCTAGGACATTCGCTGCAAAAGCCAGTTATTTCTCTAACTAAGGAAATTAAAAGCATTTTCTGCTGAAATAAAGTGATTATCAGACAGCAAGTTTATATCTGTGGAAGCAACTTATTCCAGTGAACTAGTAAATGTGATTGGGTTAATGAGAGAAAAGAAGAAACAAAAATGGTTATCAAGGCCAAGTGGTTTCAGAAACCTATAAAAAAGTTTGCTGAAAATAAGAGTTATTAGACACTAGAAGTTTCTGAAGAAGTCTTCAGGGGCTTTCGCTTTTACAAAATCAAGATAACAAGGCAGTTAGTGGTTTCAGGTAATTCTCTTGCCTGTAGAGAGATGAGTAGAGTAAGACATGTTAGAGATTGCACTGGTTTAGGACCCTTGAGCCCGGAGATTTAGAACTTTTCCCCCTGCTAATCATTGTATCTGAAGGAGCTCTGGTAGCGTAGTGGTTATGGAAAGGGCTGCTATCCTGAGGGTCAGCAGTTTGAAACTACCAGCTGTTCCCTGGGAGAAAGAGGAGGCTTTCTGCTCCTGTAAAGATTTACAGCCTTGGAAACCCTGTACAGGGTCACTATAAGTCGGAACAGACTGCACGGCACATAGCAACAACAACAATCATTGTATCTACAGCTTCATGTTCTTCACCTAAAATTACATGGTTTTAAAGAACCCCTCAAATCCTAAAATCTTATGAGTGTAGAATTTCTCTCAGCCTTATGATTTTCTGGTGTGGCACTGTGGGATAAGCACTCAATCATAAGGTTGGTTTGAACTGTAAGGCCAGAGGTTCAAACTTAACCAGCCACTCCTCAGAAATCCTTAACACGGTCACTGAGTCGGAACCAACTTGATGGCACTTAACAGTAACAACCACCACTTCCTTTATAGCTGAGATTCTGGTGTACTATTTGCTTACCACGGGGTATAAAAAAGATAAGAGTGCAGCTAAAGATGTGTCATGAGGTAATTAAGTAAAAATTTGATATAGAATAAGGTTGTTGTTGTTAAGTGCCACTGAGTCAATTCTGACCCATAGCGACCCTGCATAAGGTTTCCAAGGAGCAGCTGGTTGGCTTGAACCACTGACCGTGCAGTTCAAACCGACTTTGCAGTATAGCACAGTAACTCACAGTGCCATGCCAGGACTCCATTGAATAAGATAAGGCTCATTAATAGCAGTACTTACAATTGTACATTTTAATAATATTAATTATTATATTGTTGTTAAGTGGCATCGAGTCAGTTCTGACTCATAGCAACCTTGTATGGGGTTTCTGAGTAATGGCTGGTGCATTTGAACTACCACCCTTGTGGTTAGCAGTCCTGTGCTTATCCTGTGGTGCCACAAAAAAGAATAACCTGAAAAGGTTAGAGACAACTAACTTACCTCATACAGGGCACAGAAAATAATAGCTAAACCAGGTTTGGTCTGAAGCTCGTCTGGGAAGGGTTTGAGTTTTGGAAATATTTCTATATTTCCAATATAAGGGAGATATTTCTATGGAAACTGAAGGAAAGTGACTGCCTAGGGTTAACAGAGCACTTGACAACCTTGAGTACATATGACCGAGGGGATGGCAATAACTAGAAAGGAAAAGAGGAGGGAGGTGAGGATTTCAAGTTGTATGTCTATAGCAAAATAACATTGCTACTTCCTCATAACTTATTTTGTTTGAAAATGCTTATAGATGCCAGGTTTCAAAATACTTTCAAAATATTGTTGTTGGTAAGTGTCATCGAGTCATTTCTGACTCACAGCGACCCTGTATAGGGTTTCTAAGGAGCAATTGGTGGGTTTGAACTGCTGACCTTGTGGTTAGCAATCCAGTGCTTATCCTACAGCACCACACCAGGACTCTTTTCCAAGCATGTTGTTGTTGTTGTTGTGAAGTGCCATCAAGTCGGTTCTGACCTATAGTGATCCTGTATAGGGTTTCCAAGGAGCAGCTGGTGAGTTTGAACTGCCAACCCTGCAGTTCAAACGGCTTTGCAGTCTGGCGCATTAACCCATAGTGCCACACCAGGACTCCAAGTATAAAAGTTACAAAATACATTCAAAGTAATGAATATCATCTCTTTTTAAATTTTCACTCCACCCTAGTATCCTGTCTCTTTAATAATAGTATAAAGATTGAAAAAGTTCACTGAAAAATGGAATTGAAAGAAAGTGGAATTGTTGCATGAATTTTTTGTAGTCCCCATGTATACCCAATATTTACCATAAAGAAGAAAAAAAGTAATTCAAAATGTGCATTAGCCAGTCAAGAAGCATCACATTTCATTAGACATTGGAGAAAAACAGAAAACATACAAATGAATGTGACAAAATGAGTGTTAATGGAAAGCATGTTGCTAGGTCATAAATTATAAATTGATCATTGCACACATACACACACAGTATTATCTGAAATACTCAACATAGTACCGAGCAAGCAGAATGTTCAATGTGTAGGGGAAAAAAATGCTCTAGATTCAACAGAGAAAGAGACCAAGGTCTTGATGCAACGATGCGTAAGAGATGTTTTGGACAATGATTATGAATAGAAGCACTTAGAAAGAAAATGAACTCTGTGATGATGTTGCAACATGAATTCACAATGAGAGAGAACCTGTGGTTCCCAGGTGATGGTGGTAATGAGGACAGAAAGCACACTGAGCTGGACTGTTGAAGTCATGCCATTACCTAGTGTGGTCTCAGGTGGTTCAGACACATTTGTAATAGATTCCACAACTGCATCAAAACAAAGGAGAGTCATTTTAAAATCTTAAAATGCAAAGTTATAGTCAAATATTTCTTTCTTGAATATCAATGGTCTCAATCTCTTAAGGATTTGCTTCATAATTTTATAGATTGGACAATGGATTTAGACAGTAAAAAGAGAGAACCAGGAAGGTGGGTGGGGTGGGGGAGACAAATCTATGATACGAATCCCCAAACTAATATTTATGTTTGCTGGATTTCAAATGTTGTTATGCTCCAGATTTTAGATATCAGCAAAGAAACAGCAATCTATTCCGATATTTAGAGAGACAAATTAAATTTTGGAAGCCACAGCTCTCAAAATTTACTCAACTATCAAATACCACAGTCTGAACAATTTCATGTTTCAAGGACACAGCAGATGCTACATAAAGATTTGCTGAATAAATGAATTGAAGAATGAAAACCTTTATCAGCTTCAGTCTTTGTCTCCTCTGGCCTGAGTGGTGCTTTGGGGGTGGGATATACAGAATGTGTTTCAGCTGGTGCTAAAGAAGAAACGGAATGGTTGGTTAGTGGTGGGCAGCTACAGCAAACCCTAATGGGAACCCTGCATTTAACTTGAAAATAGAAATTTGCTATCTTAAGCAGCTTCATTCTTGAGAATAAATACCATCCAGGTAGATTATGACTATGACTACAATTTAGCAGTGCAGAAATGAAGGCAGGAAATGATGACAGTATGCTGTGGGGAAAACCACACATACCAGATCAACTACAGTAATATCCATCCAAAGCAAAGCAGATAATGTCACTTCCTTACAGATTTTTATATAAGGATTTGAGGGAGAAAATGGTATAAAGTAAGTCCTTAGAAAACACAAGGATAAATCATATGTTATGAGACTGGAAAACAGGATATGCAGATATGTGCATATGCATATTAAAAAGAAAAAAAAATTTAAAGTTTGCATTCAGAGTGAGAGAAAACTAAATAAGTGTGAGGCCTACATAGCAGAAATGAGAATGCTAGCACAATGCGCAAGTCTTAATATTTAAGACTATCAAAATCTATTGGGTGAGCACAGAATAGCGGGTGTCTACGATGTCGGAAAGAACGAGGACACCCAAAGATGACTTATTTAGTGGGATGGAAAAGCACATGTGTCTAACATCCCACTGGAGTACATTTTTACCTATAGTTTCCATTGGTGACTCAGGGCTAAATGTAATTGATTCCAGGATATCAGAAACTAGCAAAAAACACAAAATAGTACAATTGATCATGAAAGGGTTGTTGTGTACATAGAATAAATTAATACACACTAAGTATGTGAGGCAATCCCTTGTACATAATAAGTGATCAATGTTCGCCCTTATGATAATAACAACAATATTATTATTAACACTAAGGGAAGTTCTAATATCTGAATTGAACTCACAATGCTATCATTGTAGGTCAGCGGTTCAAAACTACCAGCCGCTCCGCGGGAGAAAGATGAGGCTTTCTACTCCTGTAAAGATTTACACCCTCGGAAACCCTGTACGGGGTCGCTATGGGTCGGAACCGACTCGATGGCATTTAACAACAACAACATTAATAACCATACTTCGTTATTTCATCGTGGGTTAACAAACTGTCATTTAACTAATTAAAAGATGCACAAAACAGATGACAAAT